TGAAAGGTAGAGAATGAAAATGTGAATTTGCCTAGGTGTAAAATGTGAGCCTGTGCGAAATCATGAGCAACTTCAGTTGGCGAAGCACTTCGAAGAAATTCATTACTTACCCTTGACATCGCTCGTTTTCGGTAGATTGTTCACAACCGATCCAAATTGAAACCTAAGTCATAATTAGACTGAAAGGAATAACTGGAAATATTTTTTGGGATATGTTTGGGTATGTATGCTTTCACTGGAATAGTGAAGAGGTACAAAGTCAATGATAATAGTTAACGTACGTGAGTGCAAGAAGAGAGTTTACCCCAACTGTTGTTCGCGAAGGTATTTGCTCTGCACCGAGGTAAAATGAAACCTGTTTTTGAAGTTTTGAATTTATACACGATTGGAACCTTAAACACTCACCCAAGAAATGAATACAGAAATATAGGCAGGAACGTAAACCTGAAGCAAAATAATTTTTGCATCTAAAACCCAGCACTTTCTAAAGACTCGCCTGTAAAATGTAGAATCCGTATAGACGTTGGAAAGTGAAAGTAGCAATTAGCTCGTTGAATATACCAGGCGGATACAGCTAAATACATCCTATACAGCAAAATTTGATGCGTTTGTTAGCCCATTCTGAGGCTCCTCATTCTTATAACGACGCTAGATTGCTTTAACAATTATGGTCTAAAATCTTGAAATATCATAATCCTGAGGGAGGGGGGAGAGGGGATGGGGAGGGGCAATCGGCAAAGTCTTCTATCCAAAATTAGGAAATAGTTTGTGAAAAAATACAGTTGTGGTTGTGCTGGGTATTGTTGCATTGAAGTAGATTACTTAATATTGAACTTACTCTCAGTTCACTACTAGCTGAGAAATCCACTAAAACATAATCAGGTAATGTGATATTTCCTTTCATGATTGTGATTGGAGGTACTGTATCAATCCATTCCATTTCCACCTAAAAATCTCAATTGTTCGTATCATGCGATAAGCTTTATTTTGTGTTTTACCTGGTCATGATTATGTGTAAAGCTCTCATAGAACAGCATACACCTTTGTTGATCTATCGGAAATGTCCTAAACAACAGACATTCTTAATAACAAAAACCCACAAACCTTTTCTTATTATCGCCTACCGCAGTGTGTTTGAACACGGTCCAGTTAGTTTGATACGGTAGTTGTGCCATATACTGCCATTACTGTAGATTTGAAGGAAGATATTTTTGAAAGGGCTTGAGTGGATATTTGCCAGTTTGCTGTTCACAAAGCATGCATGAGGATTCCATATTTTTTCCAAAATTGTCCGTCCATCGACTGACATATTACTAGAACCTTCTGAGTTAAGAAGTGAATCTTGTGCAATTCGACCTTTTTACGTGCGCTGATAGTAGCCGAATATGGGATTGCGGATCGAAACACAGACAGCTTGTCGCTTACCTCTTGCAAGGATTCAAATGTGCATACGCAAGAGATGGATCGGTCCAGCGTTCTGTCACGTAGATGTCCAACTCAAATTCAGATGTGATTTCGATAATTTTGGACACTTCCTGTACCCAAATCTAAAAGGAAGTTGTCTGATTGCAGCTTGCATAATCATGCTTGCATGTACCTCAACAGATACTCGTACATGTCCACCACCCGGTAACTCCAGCTTGTTGTAGCCATTTAAGATATAATCTGAACAACGTTATCGAAAAAGATAGTCATTTTTAAAAGCCAGGTCCCACCTATAATAGCGTCGTCACCGGTGCATTTACCACTTCCAAAAGGCTGTATCGTGAAGTTATGCGTGGCGGCAGGTTGGCATACGCCATAAAGGCTGAATGAATGTGCTTATTTCGATCAAAATGGATTGTTGTGCTACTATTTACCATTCATCTTCAAGCTCATTTGCTAATGTACCATATATCAGTTGGATACCGATAATCACTAGGATCATCGTTGTATTGGTCAAGTCATTGTTGTTGGAGTTACCGGGCGTTATGAAATATTCTAAAATTCTGTTTGAACTTGGTACTTTGATACATGGATAAGTCGCCAGTGAAATGCGAGTAGATTTTGCGAGTATTGAAAGGATGAACTAGATAAAATGCAAGTAGTCTTGGCAGTCACGCAAAACTTCTCATAAGGGCGTGGAGGAGATTGGGCAAATTAGATTGCCCTCTTTTCCCATCTGTGTGAGTTTTCACTCACAGTGTTTTTATACTAAAAATAATTTTTGGAGGTGCTTTCGATAGGGTTCAAAAAAGTGGGTAACTTTCTTGTTTTTAAATTTTGACCACTCTATTGAGATTTTAGAGTCGTCCGCATGGTACAGGAGGGAGAGTGGGGGAAAGGATAAAGGGTGGGAAGGGAGTGCAACTAAGAACAGATGCCGAAGTATACCATTGCTCCAATTCACTTCTTTTGAAGCTTACGTTCTTCCTCAAGATATCTCCATAAAAGCGATGCACAAAAAAGGAAGCCACGAGCTGGTTTTGACTAGAAAATAGAACTTCTACAAATTATTTTCTCCTACAAGGCTTCTTGGGTTTGAGGAATCTCAATTTGCTCTTATGGTAGGTGAAGGTCAACGGAGCGAAGTAAAAGGTCCTGGACTGATCTCTTGTCCTAATGTTAGTTCAGGCGTTAGTCTCTTTGGAATAGTCACTATGGTCTGGTAATTTCGGTAAACGAGTTGATCTTGAGCTCAAAGTTGTCCCGTGCTCCGCTTTATAAAGGGCTAAATCAGGAATAGCTATTCTTTTTGTTCTTGTTTCTTTCCCTCGTAATCATTTCTATAGAACATTTCAAA